GAGCAGAAGGAGGGCTTGATGCAAAGGACACCATGCCCAGGTATCTTAGGGCTGAGACAAAGGCCCAGACTGGGCCTTTGATGTTTGTTGCCTGGGCAGATGGCACAGAACAGAGCAATTATTGAGTGATCCGTCCTATCATACACTTCCATCAACTGTAAGTCGGAGGTTTAGGGACGCCCAGAACTTGGAGTTACATCCCTGACCATCTTACCCATTGATTGACCTATTCTCCAGGAACATATCTTGTTCTTTTTTGAACCCATTTATACTTTTGGCCTTCATAACATCCCCCAGCAATAAGTTCCACAGATTAACAGTGCATGGTGTGAAGATGTTCTTTCTTATGTTAGTTTAAAACCAGCTGTCTATTTATTTTATTGGAGACCCCTGGTTCTTGAGTTACGTGAAAGAATAAATACCACTTCCTTAGTCACTTTCTCCACTCCATTCATGATTTTACAGACCCCTGTCATATCCCTTCTTAGTCATCTCTTTTCCAAGCTGAACACTGCCTGTCTTTTTAACTTCCCTCATATGGAAGCTGTTCCATCCCCCTCACCAGTGATTTTTGTTGCCCTTCTCTGTATGTTTTCCAATTCTAGTAGATCTTTTTTAGATGAAGTGACCACAACTGCAAGCAGTATTCACACAGCAGGCATACCATGGGTTTTATACAGTGGCATTTTGCTATTTTCCATTTCCTAATATTCTGTTAGCTTTTCTGATTGTTGACCTGACATTCTCAGAGAACTATCCACTATGACTCCATAGTCTCTTTCTTGAGTAGGAACTGTTAACCCCTTCATTTTGAATATATAGTTGTGATAACGTTTTTCAATGTACAAATCTTTGCTTTTATGAACACTGAATTTCACTTCCCATTTTGTTGTTCAGACACCCAGTTTTGTGATATCCCTTAGTTAAGTCCAAAGCAGACTGCAGAGAGTTACAATCTTGAGTAATTTTTGTCATCTGCAAACTTTTTCACCTCACTCTTTACCCTTTTTTTCCAAGATCATTTATGAATACATCGAACAGCACTGGCCCCAGTACTGATTTCTGGGGGACCCTGCTCTCTCTCTCTCCAGTGAAAACTAACCATTTACTCCTATCCTTTGTTTCCTGTCTTTTAAATAATTACTAATTCATGAAAGAACCTTCTCTCTTATCTTATAATTGCTTATTTTGCTTCAAAGTCTTAGGTGAGGTACCTTATCAAAAACTTTCTGAAAGTCCTAGTACATTATATACATTGGATCAGTCTTATCCACGTTTGTTGAACTTCTCAAACAATTCTAATAAGGGAGTTATCATTTCCCTTTACAAAAGCTGTTGATTCTTTCACAACACAGTACTTGGTAATTCAGCCAATTTGCCTGGTACAGCACTACAATTAGGCTTACCAGCCTGTTATTTCCAGGATCACCTCTGAGGTCTTTTTTAAAAATTGGCATCACATTAGCTAACTAACATACCTCAGTTGGTATTTCTGCAATTGCTTACTTGAATTCCTTTATGACTCTTGGATAAATACCACTTGGTCCTGGTGAGCTACTACTGTTTAATTTATTAATTGGCTTTATGGGGGATGTCCATTTAACTAGAGCCTTCATTGTGATTTTTTTAAAGTTTCCATGCAGCTTGCAGGCTTTTCCCGTTTGTGACTGTTCCTTTTAATTTCTGTTTAACTAGCATCCTCATTTTTGTATTGCTCCCCTTTGTGAAGTTAAATGCTACCATGGTGGGTTTCTTTGGTATCTTCCGCACCATATGGATGTTAAATGTAATTACATTATGGTCACTATTACCAAGTGGTCCAGCTATATTCATCTCTTGGACCAACTCCTGTGCCCCTGCTAGGGCTAAAACAAGAATTGTTTCTCCCCTTGTGGGATGTTTGTTGGAACTGTGTTTGTTGCCCTTTGTGAGCAGTATATGGATGAAGACCATGGATGGGCTGAAGGACTTGCTAAATCACTGTCCTGATAGAACTCATCTGTTGACATATTTTGCAAACATCTAAAGCAGTGGCTGGCCTGCTCACTTGGTAGATACCATAGCGAACAACCATGTGAACTGGGAGATGCCATGGGGCTGGGGTTGCCCAGGCTGGTGGGGCTTGAGAGCATTGCTTGGCACTTCTCTCAGTCATCCGAAAGAGAAGGGCAAGGTTAGCTCAGCAGCCCCTCATTGCTAGCTTTGGACATTACTTGCCTTGACCACTGGACCCTTGTCCTATTGGACCATCCTACTTTTCACCAAAGTCCCTCCTCAGATCTCCGCACTGTCCTGCCTCCTGCTGCATCAGTTTCAGTTTCCTTCTCCTCACTTCATGGTTCTGCAGAGTTCTGCTCCTGCCTGCCTCTCGCCTCCTCTTAGCTCCTCTCTCTTGTCACTCAGGGCACTGATAGTGCCACTCTGCTCTGCTGTCACTTCCCACTTCTGACGCTGGGCCATTCCTGCCTATGCCTGGAACAGCCTCTCTGCTCTGGGGCAACAAGCCCTTTCCCTCTCCCCTTTTCAGTGCTTCCTGAAAACATGCTGCCTGCTGTGCACTGTGTAATCTGGGCTGGGGTGTTCCTTACGCTCACTGCCACACCTAGCCATGATAAGATATGTGCATGCAGGTCTGTTAATAAACATGATATGAAGCAACACAATTCCTGTTACAAAAGCTTGGCGTGAGAAAGCAGAGCCAGATGCTCTGTGCCTCATTCTTGCCTTTCACTTGTCTGAACAGCTCATCCTCTCCTTTCTCCTCCATGTCTAATACTCACCCTTCCATTATCTTTTAGGCTATGTACACAGTACAGCTTACATCGATATAAATTGTGTCATGCAAGGGTGTCATGCAAGAATAAGCTACCCCCTACCCCGTGTGACACAAGTTACACCAACCTAAGTGTCAGTCAGTGTAGGCCAGTGTTTCCCAATTGGTACTCCGAGGAACCCTGGGGTTCTGTGAAGCGAAAGTAAGGGTTCAGCGAGAACACGGCACTTCCCGGCCCCCTCTTAAAGAAACGGAGTCTATTTTGCAGCTTTTTTTTTGCTTGACAAATTTTACCCTGGCAACCCTAGGGATTCCTTGAAATTCTTTGAAGCTGAAAAGGGTTCCATGGCCAAATAAAATTGGGAAATACTGGTGTAGGAAATGCTACGTCAGCAGGAGAGTTTGCAATTGGAGCAATTCAGTTGATGGGAGAGCTCCCCCCAGCTTAGATTGTCTGCACTATCTGGGCTGCTATGAACTGTGCTGTGCAGCCCCAGTCTCAGTTTGTGGTCTGATTCCATTCTCACTGACAACAATGGGAGTTTTACTATTGGCTTCAGTAGGAGCTGTTTGGATCCGTGGATAACAAGTTCTTTGGGGTCAGGTGCTTAGGGAGTTTTTTAGATTTGTATAGCCCTGTGCACCTTTGTAACACTAAAAAAAAACAAACAAACAGCTGCAGCAGGAAGGTGAGCTCTAAAAAGTAGTAGTTAGCATCTGTATACTTCTTAACATATACAATGCAAGGAGCAGATACTAAATAATTAACCTTCAAAACACTCCTATGAGGTACATAAGTAATGATATCCCCATTTCACAGAAGGGGAAAACTGAAGACTGAGAAGTAATGTGATTTGCCCATGATCACACACAGCAAGCAATGGCAGAGTCAGGATTAGAAATCAAGATCTCACAACTCATAGGGCTATGCTGTTTCCTGTAGGTCACAATGCTTGGGATTCTACAATTGGGAAAACAGCTGCTAGCAATGGAAATGCGGGAGATGAAGCCCATGCACACACCCTGCAGGTTGGAGTAGCTTGAAGGATGCAAAACATACCAGTTTAGTTAGTAGGAGGAAAAAAGACCAGTAGACCCACTCCTTTATGCACCGTGAGACTATACTGAGAGGATGTGATCATCATCATTCTTCAAGACATTATGGTGTAGCTCTCAAGATTAACCCCTAAAACTGGATCAATAATGCTGCTCAAAAGTTGACATTTCAAATTTTTCTTCTTTTACAAATCCTCCCCAAGACATTTTTGAGGGTTCAAGAAAAACCTATTTTCAGATAGGGATGTAAATAACCATTAAACTAGTTAACCACTTAAATGGATAAAATTATACTGTTTAACTGGTTAAACATTGGCAGGATGGCAGAAGGAGCCCAGTTTCCGCCTACCCACTTGGGCTGAGTCGGAGCAGCCAGGCTTGCCTGATGACCCAGTGCAGGTGGGGCCAGGGTCCTGCCTGCCTAGGCTGCTCTGGCGTGGCCAGGGCCCCAATGCAGGTGTGGTCCTAGCTGCTGCTCCCACAGGGCTGGGGTCCCACTGGCTTGATACAAGCACAGCCCTGCCTGCCACATGTGGCTAGCCAGACTCAACCCTGGCTGCTCCAGCCTGGCCCTGTTGGCCATCCAACCAGTTACCCAGAAAGTAGTCCGGTAAGCCTAATGCTTATAAGTAACCTGTTACCCTTTTACACCCCCTATTTTCAGTTTTCCAAAATGTTATCGAAAGTATTATCAATTATTTTGAAAATATCAAACTTTTTTCAGCTTTTTTTTAAAATTTTGACACAAACAATTTAGTGAATTTGACCTGACTGCATTTAAAAAAACATTTTGCCCAGCAGTAATGAAGAGCTTTTGTGCAGAGTGGTGGGTGTTTGTAATTTCCTTTCAGATAAACTTTGCTTGGAGGCCCTAAGCCAGCTTTTTGAGGCAGGGGAGTCATACCTCACTAGCACTCTTCTGATAAAAAGCCAGGTACACTGTAAGGTTTCCTTGACAAACTAGCCCTCAGCCCCTGGCTTCCAGAAATCAAGTTACCAGCAATATGAAAATCCAGGCATGTTGTTTGTGAGTCTCTACATAAGGTTAATATATTTTTCTACACATGCACAGTTTCCAATGATTTGATTAATCCAGTAAATTCAGAGGGGGTAAGAAATACAGAAGAGTCAATCATGTGAGCTATATTAAGTGCTTGTTTTCTTTTTTCAGAACAAAGGAAGAAATACTCCAACTCCAATGTAATTATGCATGAGACATCACAGTACCACGTACAGGTGAGTTTGCACAGAGTCCTTATGGGAGTGAGCAATAAACTGCATCGATGATAGATGCAGATAATGACTCTTGGTTCATGTATATCACGACCTTGCTTAATTCACTATGCATGGCACATCGAGGAACCTAATTAGTTCAGAAGCTAATTAGAAGCCTTTCTACAAATGAGCAAAGGTCACTTTACTCACATGAAGTTACTGATAGTAGCTCATAAGAAAACCTCTTGAACTGCACGTTCCTTTCTTTAGTTTTTGGGACACAGTTCACTAGTTCTTTTTTCTTTTTCCCATGCCCGATGAGCTTTGGGGGCTAATGTAAATGTACTGGTACAGCATGTCCCATTCCATGGGATCACCAGTTTGTTGACAGTGGATCTGTGCTTCTAAGCCAACTGAATCTGGGGTAAAGAGCTTCCTGCTTGGCTTTGTAATGACCATTTTCTGGCCAAAGGTTGCCAGGTGCAAGATGAATCAGGCACAAGAAAGCATTCCATTAGCATTCTAGGCCATGACTGTAAAACCCCAAGAAATAAAAAGGCATCTAAAATTTGTCATATTTGTTCAGTGCACGAGGCAAGAAAATTAAGGAATTGGATTTTTGAGATAGGAAAGAATTCATCAGAGGTTCCTATCTACTGAAAAAACTCCCCTTCCTCTTGCTGTGGAGATCTCATCCAGGAAAGCACCTCAGCACCTGCTTAACTTTAAGCAGATACCTGAGCAATCCCCTTGATTAGAATGTGATTACTCAGCTGCTTAAAGCTAAGCTTATACTTAAGTACTCTATTGGATTGGGGCCTTTTTTGTTTTGTATAAAGTAATCTGATGGCTAAGAGCCCCACTTTTACTTTTGGTCATTGATATGTATCTAGATTTTCACTGAAGAAAAGGTCCCGAACATTTGCCAGTTAACAAGAATATTAAACCACAATTTCAATTAGTCCTCACTCTAGAAAAAGTGTGCTGTGCAACTGTGTAACTGCACTAGAGCTTTGTATTGTTCATATTACTATGAACGACAACATAATACAACCTTTACATGGCTCCATTTCCTGCTGGCTTGTCATTTTTATATGCATGCTTGTACAGACACATGCTATGCACCACATGCTGAATGACTCAAGGTTCATTTTCTCTCATCCTTTTTCGTAAGTCTCAGATGCAGTATTTTCCATCTGGTTTTTATTTTAAGCCATTATTAGACACCCTATAGTATCGTGTACCAAAGGAAGTCTTAGTGGCAGAAAAGGGACTTTAAACAGTGACACACTTCAGCCCTCATTAGTTATGTTTCATGCCACCCACTTCTGAGGCTCCACCTTGAACTTTGATCAGAGCAAATAGGTTTTCATCACCATCCTGCCAGCTGTATGTGTTTTCATAAAAAATGAGTTGACCTTTTATATGCATGAACAGTGATTTGTATGCTGATAAAACTAACATTACTAAATTACAGTCATGGTCCATTCTTACACATATATTGGATCTGAATCACATTAGAAATGAAAGAAATTACATTTTGCTTTTAGGCTTTCAACTTTTCTTAAAATGTGATAAATACAGGTCAGTAACAAACTTCTCCTCCTTCCCTTAGTAGCTTAAAAAATGGTCCCAGTATCTAGATAAGACTGAATAAGGCGGAGGGGCGAGGGGGGGAATCTACCAATGCATGCAATGATGGTCACGTGAGCATCTATGACCTCTATTGATCTTAATATAATCAACAGCAAATACCAGGAGGAATTTATGAAGACTGTAAAACAACATGTGGGCAAAATCCATAGAGCTGATTAGCATTCCTGGCAGCAACTGTAAATTCAATTCAATTTTGTCACCTGAGTAACACAAATTTAGGTAATATTATTACCTTTATGATGTAGCATTTGGAATAACATTTTAGAATGACCATAAAACACCTTGCAGGACTATGTAGCACTTTAAAGACTAACAAGATGGTTTATTAGATGATGAGCTTTCGTGGGCCATCATCTAATAAACCATCTTGTTAGTCTTTAAAGTGCTACATAGTCCTGTATTTTGTTTCAGCTACACCAGACTAACACGGCTACATTTCTATCACCATAAAACACCTGATAGTGTTAATTCTCACCTGGGAGCATGGCCAGACGTGGTTTTCACCATAGTTTCATTTATGTAAGGCTTGATTCAGTGTCCAAGGCAATCAATGGGAGTCTTCTTTGTATTTGAAGGCTGTCAAAATGGGCCCCTATTAAGTGCTAGGCATTTTACCCACTTTCTTCCCTCCATCCAATGCCACATCTTGGCCTAGCTTTTTCACATCTCATGGATGTCTAGTTAGCAACTCAAATGCAACGTGGCCAAAACTGAACTTTTCCTCTTGCCCTCCCCAAATCGCCCATCTATCACCACAGATACTACCACCATCTTTCCAGTCACTCATGCAGGCTTCATCTTCAACTTGACCCTCTCTAGATCCACGTGTCCAGACAGTGTCTCACACTGACTGAATCTTCATACATAGCATTTCCGAGGTCTGGCCTTCTCTGCCTGTCCAGACTGCTGGTGCTCCTGTCTAGGCTCTTCTCTGACCTCTAATCTCTTCCTCTCTTGACCTCAGCTGCAACAAACTTGCCATCCTCGAACCCATTCAAAATGCTGATGCCTGCATGGTTTCTCTGGCACATGGTTCTAACTACATGAACCCTCTTCTTTGAGTCTTCCCAAAGGCTCCTCCTCCTTCTCCATACCCAACACAAACATCTCACCTTCGCCTTTGAGGCCCTTTGTCTTTTAGCTCCAACGTACCAAACAGAGGTCTTACCATAGTGCCACGCTGACCCACCTCAGTCGATCAGTGAGGGCAGCCTTTATTACTAATCAGTCTACTTCAAACTCAGACCCTTTTGTGATATCACCATTGCCACCTCTTTCAGGTGGGGAAATCCACAAATCCACCATCTTCTCCTTGGTCAAGCACCTCCTTCAGTCTTACCTCTGTCACCATGCCTAAAGAACACTGCTGACAACGGCTAGCCAGGCGGATAGTGACTGCTCCGTGATATGCTCATTCTCCCCAGCTGCCCCATGGGTCTGATTTATTCACCTGTGCTGGTCCATCATATTTCTAGACTGTGAACTATCTGGACTTTTTGTAAAGTGCCTGAACCAGTGGTTCTCTATCCTTGATTGAGACCATTCACCACTACTGTAATACAGCTTGGAACTCCCTGGTCCAGCACCTTTGGGACCTGACTGATCCCGGACGAGGGATTTTGTTGGACCAGGGGTGGTCATATTTTTGGTGCCTTGTGCTTTTCCCTGAGCTAGGGCTGGATTCTTCAAGGTGCAGGCCACTCTCAGCTCCCTCTATTCACCCAGAGAAGAGCTGGCTGAGTGGAAAATCAACACAAAGTTACCCCACTTTTTTTTTTATTTTGAAAATTGTGTCCAAATATTTCTATTAAAAAAAAAAAAAGTTGAAATGACATTGATTTTTCAACCCCCCCCCCCCCACACTCATGAGGCATTTGGATCCTCATAGGTTTGGTACAAGAACAAATCCATCTTCATATCATAAAGAGGAGTTTATGGCTGACATCAAACAAATAGTTTTAAAAAATACTGGCTAGTTCCAAACACAATGGTTTTCCTACTTGTCCTACTATTTACCTACCGAAAAGGAAAAGAAGGGTTATGAGAGAGAGTTAAGTCCTTGGTTGTGCCAGGACAATGGGATGTGCCTGGAATTTGATTGTTTCTCATAAAATGGAAAGGGAGGAGTATGGTAGGGGGTAGTTATACTGCAGAATGACCACAAGGGAGCAGCTTGGGCTAGATATGGGGACTGGATTGGTTATAATCCCATCGGGCCATTAGGGGACCGGTGTGGGAAAAGAGACAACTCTTTACTATATATTTCAGAGAGTTTGTTTCTGTGTCTCTTCATCTGGTATCTGTCTGTCCCCCAGCTGGGGACATGCACTCCTTCCCCTGACTGTGCCCATTGCAGCTGCAGTAGCCATGTACAGGTGCTTCTCAGCTGGCTTGATGCTGCTGCGGTGAGAGAGGGCTAGAGTTGTCCTCTCTCCCTGGGGCAGCCTGAATACTGAACCACCCATCCCCATCCTTCCCCTGACTGTGCCCATTGCAGCTGCAGTAGCCATGTACAGGTGCTTCTCAGCTGGCTTGATGCTGCTGCGGTGAGAGAGGGCTAGAGTTGTCCTCTCTCCCTGGGGCAGCCTGAATACTGAACCACCCATCCCCATCCCAGTGCAATGATTTAAATGAAGAACCAACCTTGATTGCAAGGGTGGAATCCACAAGCTAGTGGAAACAAATGTCATTTTTGTGCAGAATACCCTTCCCCACCCCTTCCTTCCATGTTCATCTCCTCCACTTCCCAGCGTGGTACTTTCTCCTACGCGCAGTCGCTATAGCAGCACAAAGCCTACACGCCAGCACAATCATGCAAACACCAAGGTTCAGAGACCCTCCATAAGTGTGATCCTATACAAGTGCAATTTGTAATGGGTCCATCGCCTGCTTTAGGAAATAGTAGGACGAGCTTAGAGCTGTGTGGAAATGCCTGCAAGTGCCATCATGTCTGGAATTCTGCTACCTAAGCAGAGCTGCCTTCAGTCCCAAGCAGAGAAGTTACACAACGTGTGGGAGGAAGGGGGGACTGAATGCAGTTGGTTATGGGGAAGGGGTTCATAGAGAAGCGCTATGAAAGCCTCGGCACAGGTTTCTCTAGGTTTGGGAGGAAGGAAAACTAGGGAACTCCTGTAATTCCACCAGTGATTAATTTACAAAGAAAGAAATGCCAGGACTCAAGCAGGTTTCTTGTTTCTTTCATAACTTACAGCAAGCCCAAAGGTGCTAGAGCGATGAATTGCCAAGTCTCAAAGTGCAGGGACTCAGATCTTGCAAGCCCTGGCACAAAGTAAGCACTGACTGCCACAGTGCAAAGCTGATGGGGGAGCAAACCACAAGGGGATATGAAAACAAGGAGGGATTCCTTTTCTGTAGCTGAGCTGGGAAGCAAAATATGGCAGGTTCTGGCAACCTTTTATATAAACAGGTACTACAGCCTGCACTGGAAGTCATAGGCCATGTTCATGATCTAACACAGTGTCTCTCAAACTTTTTTTTATAAGTACACCTTTAAAAAAAAAAGTACCCCCAGTACCTACAGTTTTCAGACACACACAATTTTTTTCTACCGTTGAAACACATTTGTTTAAACCAGTGGTCCCCAACCTTTTCAGGTTGTCGGTCGCCAGGGGGCGTGGCCATTCGCCCGCCGGGCGCCAGGGGGCGGGGACATGTG